CTTGTTTCTCCCCCTCCATGCTGATTTTCCCATCCTTACTGATTTATGTCTTTAAATATGTAAAATATTAGCATGCTTCTCTAAGCATAAGTATACTAAGAAGATTCTGAGAAGATAGAAAAGTAGGAAGCACCAAAACTCTGTCTCCCTATCTAAATAACAGCTGCACTGGCAGTTACTGTCTAAAGAACTATTTTGGAACTCCGAAGGATACTGAAGGCTTGCAACTTTGAGGAAGGCTTAGATGGCAAATTGCGATTATTTTCAGTCAATTTCAGTTCTTAACACAGTGGCAGCTACCCATTCCCCATCTCCAGCCCTATGGGAGGCAGCTGTGCATGCATCCCTAGCACAGATGGGAGTTATCATGTTCACAGACTGGAAAGCTCAATACTATTAAAATGGCAATATTACCCACAGCAATCTACAAATTCAATGCAACTCCTATCAAAATCCCAATCGCTTCTTATAGAAATTAAAAGAAAAAAATCTTAAAATTCATACGAATCTCATGGAACCCCAAAGAGCCAAAACGATCTTAATAAGGCACAAAGCAAAAGGACTCAAACTTTCTGATTTTAAAACTTACTATACAATGAAACCAGCACATGGTATAATGATTACGTTGCTGGACTCCCATGTAGTCAACTGTGGTTTGAGTTCTAGACCTGGAGGTTTGAAAGTCATACCAGGTACATGAGCATATGTGCCCAAAATCCCAAGAGGAGAAGGGATTGCAGCGTGGCCATCCCCCCTGGGAGGTGATTTCTCACCTTCTGTCTCTGTATCTCTGTCTCTCTTGTAAGCACAAATGCCCTATAGCAAAACACCTCTTAAAAAAAATCTTACTACACAAATTTACAGTAATTAAATTTACAGCTGGATGCACATGGGAAAGGTCCTAGGTTTGTGTCCTGGGACCTCCCTGAGAATACCAGGCATTGCCAATGATCCAGGCGGGCTTAGATTGGGGATGGATCATGAGGACTTTGTTGGGTGCATCTGTGTATCTGTTTCTCTCTCTCTCTCTCTCTCTCTCTCTCTCTGTCTCTTACTCAGAATAAATCAATAAGCTTAAAAAAAAAAAGACAAAACAATAGAATAGAACAAAGAATCTAGAAACAAATCCTCATATCCATGGTCAAATAATTTTTGACAAGGGTGTCAAGACCATTCAATGGGAAAACAACAGTCTTTTCAACAAATAGAACTAAGAAATTGGATATCCCCATGCAAAAGATTGAAGTGAGACTCTGACCTAATACCTTATGTAAAAACTAATTCAAAATGAATCAAATACCATAATGAAAGGCCTAAATAATACAAGTTGTAGAAGAAAACAAGGTAAAAGTTTCACAACACTGAATTTGGCAATGATTTCATTAAGACACCAACAAACAGCACAGGCAAAAATAACAACAAAAATGACACATTGGACTTCTTAAAAACTAACATACACATAACACACACACACACACACACACACACACACACACACACACATATACATCAAAAGACACGGCTATGGTTAGAATGTGTCTCCCAAAATTCTTATGTTGAAACATAATCTATAGTTTAATGGCATTAAGACAAGGGGACTTTGAGAGATTATTAAATCATGAGGGCAGATTAGGGCCCTAATAAAAAGACTAGAGTGAGGGGGTTCGTTCCATTTATGAGGAACCAGCATTGGTCTGTCTGGAGAAAGCTTCCAGTTGGAAGCAGACAGTAGCCCTCACCAGAAATATACCCTACCTCCTGGTGCCTTGATCTAAATTCCTACCTCCAAAACTGTTAGAAATAAATTTCTATTGTTTATAAATTATTTTGTCTGTGATACTATGTTACAACAGGACAGAAACAGATACCATCAACAGAATAAAAAGGCAACCAACCCACAGAATGGGAGTAGGGAGTAAAAGGAAGTTACTGTTTAATGGGCATAGTTTGTTTTATAAGATGGAAAAAGTTATGGAAAAGACTATATAATCTCTGATAAGAGATTAACATCCAGAATATATATGAAACTCCTAAAACTCAAGACCAGAAAGGAAAACAGTCCAATTCAAAAATTGTCATAGTATTTAAACAGAGGTTTCTCCAAAGAAGTTATACAAATGGACAATAAGAACATGAAAAGATGCTTAGCATCACTAATTATTCAGAAAATGCAAATCGAAACTTCAATGACATACCACCTGATACCCATTTAGAATGGTTACTATTTTAAAAAGAGAAAAGAACAAGAACTGACAAAGAGGTAGATAAATTGGAATCCCTGTGTGCTGTTGGTGGAAAATGGAACAGCCTCTGTGGAAAACAACATGGTGGTTCTCCAGATGTTAAAAATATTGGGTCACTGGAAAAGTCCTAAGTGTTTTTCTACGCAAAAACATTTTTGGCATTATTTTCTAGGCAGAATTATTTTCATTTAGAAAAACATGTCATGACTTTTCCAATAACCCAATAGAATTACCAAATGATCAGCAATTCCATTCCTGGGTATAAACACAAATGAACTGAAAGCAGTGTCTCAAAGAGGTATTTATACAACCATGTTCATAGCAGCATTATTCACAAAAGCTAAAACATGGAAACAACATGAGCGTCCACCAACACATCAATGAACAAAATATGGTGTATCCACACAATGGAATATTATTCATCCTTAAAAAGAAAGAAATTCTGCAATATGCTATAATATGGATAACTATTGACAACACTGTGTCAAGTGAAATAGGCAAGTAAAAAATGACAAATACTGTATTATTTCACTTACATAAGATACTTAAAGTAATCAAGATCATAGAAACAGAATAGTAGTTCTCGGAGCTGGGGTAGGGAGTAAAAGGAAGTTACTATTTAATGGGCATAATTTGTTTTATAAGATGGAAAAAGTTATGGAAATGGCTATGTAGTATTACAAATGTATTTAATATCACTGTACTGTACACTTAAAATGGATATGATGGTAAGTATATTTTACTACAATTAAAAAATGAAAATACCAGCATTGTAGATGGGCTAGACAATGATGAAATAAAACCATGTCATATAATTTTAGAGTGTTTTCCCATCATCTCTATTTAAAATTTGACCCTTCTTTCTTAGTAGTTAGTAATTACACTGAGATTAGTAGACATTACATGCTGAATGCTCTTGTCCCTAAAATTCATATGTTGAAACTTTAAACCCAACCTGGCAGTGTTTGGAGGTAGGGCCTTTGTGAAGTAATTAATCCACAAGGATGGAACCCTTATAAATGAAATTAGTAAAATTTTTTGGGGGGGAGAGGTTTTTGCTATAGGGTGTGTGCGCTCGCCAGAAAGACACAGAGAGACAGAGAGATAGAAAGCGAGAAATCACCCCCCAAGAGGGATGGCCACGCCGCAATCCCTTCTCCTCCATTCTCCTCTTGGGATCTTGGGCACGCACGCACACACGCCCGGTGTGAGTTCAAGCCGCCGGGTCCAGGACTTGAACTGCGGTTGACCACGTGTGAGTCTAGCGATATAGCCATTACACTAACTGCCAGTCCTGAAATTAGTAAAGTTATAAGAGGCCAGAGAGTCAGCTTCTCTTTCTGCCATGTAAGGATACAAGAGAAGTCAACAATCTGCAACCCAAAATAAGAGTTCTTACCAGAACTTGACTATGCTGGAACCCTGATCTCAGACATCTATCTTCCGATATTGAGAAAAATAAATGTCTGTTGTTTATTAGAAAAAAACCCATAAAAACAAAAACACTAAACTAATAGATAAACTCAGAGAAGCTTATTAGGCTAGGGTTAACTATTCCCTATACTAAGGCAACACCCTTCTAAACATTCTACCAATGTCCTGTGAATCATAGGTTTACCAGTCTGGCTGTGGAAACAGGCACTATACCCAGCATTCTGTAAATGTTGCACACAATTTTCCTTCTTTTGGTTGATTCTTCCTCCAGCCTCAGGTAGTTTCCTTAAACAATCACACTAATAAATATTCCACTGAATACTTAAGGGGGACCCTCTATATATCTCCATTATTCTCTTTCTGTGCACAGTTACCCAGTGTTCTTTCCCCTCTTGGCATTCTGTCCTGCAAACTCATATAGATCCTCAGCATTAGCTCTTCAACTCAGACTGTGTGCCAAGGTTTACCTGGTGTCCCTTTTCTAGGCAGTAACTTTAAATGCTCTTAAAACAGTCAGCTGGAACAGTTATAGGACTTACCTCATTTGCTTCATGTCACTGAAACAAATGACATGGGCCATTGCTCTCTGTTGCCCAAAGTTCAGGGTCTTAAAAACCTTTATTTTATACACTTTATTCTTTTAGAGGATGTTTCAGGTGAGAAGATGCTGTGATTTGGATAATGGTTGTCCGCCAAATGTTCATCTTTGGAATTTATTCCCCAGTACAATGGTGCTGGAAGGTGCTGAAACCTTTAAGAGGTGAGGCCTAGTTGGTGGTGATTGGATCATGGAGGTATCATTCTCATAAATGAGTTAATAATGTGTTTAAATACACAGTGAGTTCTGGCTCTTATAAGAAAGGGTTATCTCTCATGAGAGCATGTTGTTATAAAAGGAACCATGTTATTATAAAATGAAGAAGGCTATGCCCAGGTCTCTCTCTCTACACACATCCACCATCCTCTCTGCTTCTATAAGCCATGTTGTGATACAGTTAGCGGGTGCCTGCCCCACACCTTTGAACTTTTCAGCCACTATGAGGCAAATGAACCTCTATTCTTCATAATTTATACAGTCTCAGGTATTTCTTTTAGTGATAAAATAGCACACTAAAACAAATTTTTCTCTTGGGATTTTAGGCATGCATACTCATATGCCTTGGCATGGTTCTGAAGCCGCCAGATCTGGGACTATAACCACAGACAGCTATGTGGGAATGGAGCACCTCAACCACCATGCCACCTGCTGGCTCCCCAACTATAGTTTTTGAATCTGAATATATGCAGAATTTAAAGTTACCTAGGATGAGAATGACTGCTTACCTTATTAATGTATCATCATCCACGATGACTAACCATGCTATTTTGTCATGGCTATGATTCAAAAATCTTTCCAAAATGGCAAATGTCTTTCCACAATGACCTAGGATAAGCAAAAAGAAAACTAAAAATCCAGCATTTTCTCTAAGACACATAAAATTCATTTACATATTAAGTATTTTAATAAGAGTTTAGATGCTGACATGAAGCTTAATCATTTGAAATTTCAAAAATTAGCCTTCTCATGGTTTGTTCAAGGTAGAGAGTTATACATACTCATGTTATTAAGATATTTGAAAATGTTGAATATGTTTGGATAAGATCTAATTGTGATTATTACAACAATAAAAAGATTTAGTAAATCCAACTTCTGGAGAAAAAAATAAACTAGCCTTCTCTAATATTTATAGATATAGTGAGCCACAGAAACTTTAGAGCTTCTGAAGTCTAAGCCATTCATTTCACACACAAGAAAATGAGGAGCAAGAGAGATTAGGAGAATCGTACAAGGTCACACAGATAATCTGAGGCACAGATAGAATTATTGCCTCAGTCCAGACAAACAAGAAAGGTGTAAGCTTCACAGCAATTACAGAAGCCTGGCATCTTTTCTTAGATAGGCTTATTCTGAATGAATTGTTAGAACTCCGAGCGCAGCAACAGGAAAGCAATGGTGTAAAAGCAAAAGACTGCACCTTCACTCATTTATTTTGTAAAACGTACTTCTCAGTTTCTAACGTATCAATACTATGGCACGTACTAAGATATGCATGAAAGCTACAGTATGTAGTACATCAGAGTCACAATTCTTCAGATGCCAACAGATAAATTACATTAGGATGCTTTAATGATAAATGCTGGAATAAAGATAAGAGAATAACTCTTGGGCACAGTACCCAAGCTCATAAATAGCAATATACCCTCATTTCAACTAAGTATTTGTTGACACAGTAGAGAATAAACTAACATTAAGTTAATTCATTAATATTGAACTGCTTGACTAAATCTTTATTTTCTTTATTCTTGATCTCTATGTATTTTTAACCATTATAATGTATTTATTCTAATACCATCTCAAATTTATTTTAAAATAAAATACAATAAAAATGTGAGCAATCTAAGATCAAACTAGAAATGAAGAAGTCAAATAAATCCATGAATATTCAAGCAATTCTAAACTGGAGATGTACAAAGCAAGATTAAGCAAAACTGAGAAAATTCAACCTAAAATAGTTTTTCTAAAACCAGTAGCAATAATGGACTCAGTAGTATACTTATCTTTGTTAGAAGAACTAATAACTAATATAATTGCTCATTTGATTCCAAAATGTTCTTTATTAATCAAGGAATGATGACTAAAACTAACAAATAAGATAATCTGCTCTGCAGCACCAGATAATTAACTTGCTACTTCTATTTTTTTATTTGTAAAAGGGTATAGGGAACCAAAAGCACTGAAGAAAACATGTAATAGGAACACGGGATGAAAATGAAAATCAACAAAGAACTTCTGAACATGATGTAGCCAAATTTTTATTTCCATATTTTGAAATAAAACACATTTGCAATTAGAAGATCTGTATTCTAAAGAGAAAGGCATATGTACTTCCAACCATTTACTAATTAAATATTAACATATGTGATAGAGCTTATTCTATACATGAAGAGACTTCAAAAAGTTTGTGAGAAAAATGGAATTAAAGCACAAGTTCCTTTTGGTACAAGAAATTTTTAAATCCATGTGTAGTTTTTTTTTGGTAATATGCATTTTTCATGAGCTTTTGAAGACCTCATAAAACCAGTAGAATATGGTGCTGCTCAGAGGTACATGTAAAATGTGAAATAGACTATAAGACTCCTGAGAATAAACTTTCTGAGTGAAGATGATAAACTAACTATGGACACCCATCACTGCCACACTGAATTATGAAAGTATGAAAAACCTATTGTTAAACTGTACTTAACTGTCATGCTCAAACCCAGCAACCTAACCTACTAAAGATGTACAACCTTTTATTTTACTATAACACTCCTCATTTCAGGGCTTATTAGTGAGTGACGAAGTCGAGTGGGAGAGAAGGAAAAAACCTACATGCACCAAAAACTACAGTACTTATGAACTATTTCATTTGTGTCCTAACTTAATTTACTATATTTGCAGAATGGGGATTTTTAGTGAGGAGAATAATAAGAATCAAGGACTCACCTCTATCTGTATTAGGAATTCCCAGATCCACGGAAGGGATGGAACTATCTGTGTAATCACTGTAGTACTCAATGAGACTCGCTTGGCTCTCCCAAGTCTGCTTTACAATGGGTACTGAAAAAATTAGAGACAATCACTGGCATACTTTACAATGAAGCCTGAAAACTGAAAACAGCAACATAATCACCTATAAAGGAAGAAAAATGTTATTTGTTCTTCAAGTGTTCTGAGACATGGGGGCTTGCTTTCAACCTGAAATGCCAACATTGTTTGCTGATAATAAATGACTAAAATTCTTTTCCTGAAGCATTTACAGTACCTACTAGAGTAAGTATTTCTCATACCTAATGATAAATACACTTTCTTCCACACAATGATAAATTTTCTAGTCTGAGTATACTACTGTATTTAATTTTAACTAAGTTTTCTCTTTTCTTGATTAGTTATTTTATTGAAACTATCCCCACCTATTCAACTGGTTTTCAAAATGTGTTTTGGATTCCAGTGGGACTCTGCTTCTGTTGGGATGTGTTATGTTGTGTGTACACATTGACCAGAGTCTCTGCTGAGCTTATTCTGAACAGATTCAGAAAAGATGGTAAGATCGTGATTTTTGTTAATTTATCTCAATAAAAGCCCACTGGAACTCAAAAAAAAAAAATGTGTTTTGGACAGGTAGGGAATATACTTTTTTTTCTTTTCTTGGAGAGGTTTTTGCTATATGGCGCGTGCGCTCGTCAGACAGACAGAGAGAGACAGAGAGACAGAAGGCGAGAAATCACCCCCCAGGGAGGATGGCCACGCCACAATCTCTTCTCCTCCATTCTTCTCTTGAGATCTTGGGCATGCACGCACACGCGCCCAGCGTGAGTTTAAGTCACCAGGTCCAGGACTTGAACCACAGTCGACTACGTGGGAGTCCAGTGACATAGCCATTACGCTAACTGCTGGTCCCAATAAATACTTTTAAGGATAGGACTAGTTTATGCAGTTCTGGCTGATGGGGGGGGGGGGGTACTTTTCTTTTCCTTTTTTTTTGTAGTGGTTTTTGCTATAGGGCGCGTGCGCTCACCAGACCGACAGAGCGAGACAGAGAGATAGAAAGCGAGAAATCCCCCCCCAGGGGGGATGGCCCCGCCGCAATCCCTTCTCCTCCATTCTTCTCTTGAGATCTTGGGCATGCACGCACACGCGCCCAGCGTGAGTTTAAGTCACCAGGTCCAGGACTTGAACCACAGTCGACTACGTGGGAGTCCAGTGACATAGCCATTACGCTAACTGCTGGTCCCGGGGTGGGGGGGTACTTTTCAATGATTCTGACAGAACTACCCCACCCTATAAAGAACTTGACCTTGATACTGAGAATTCCTGCATATGATAACTGATATTATTGTGTTGAATTTTTGAAAACTAGAAGTAAAACTGAGAACCACTGCAGACTTTAAAACTCTATAATTATAGTTTACAGTATCATTTTAATACAACAAATTCTTATTGGTTTTATGTATTCTAGGCTTATATGCTCAAAGGTAGGACTATCTACATACAGTGAGACAGGAATTAGACTGAATGAATAGGTAAATAGGACAAAGACCCATGAGGAAGCCACTCTGATAGGAAATGGACATACACATATATTAAGATAGCATCAACTTATACAATGGAGTCACTCTGGTCAAGTTTTTTGAGAAGGATTGCTCACTGCTCTCACTAGAAATCAAGTATTAGCTCTCATGCTTGCTCACATGGAGAGCTACTTACAACCAGAGCTGTTTTATAGCTTGCTTGATCAACCATAGCCTATTAGGAAATGCAACCAGACCCTCTTTGAAAATTCCTTCTCTTCCTGACTCTTGGCATGGAAAGGCTGTTATCTGCCATCTCAGATAAACACAGATACCACTGAGACGGGGCACTAAGTCAACATCCTGATTCCTACTGGGGCAATAAACTAATTGGGCAGAGCATCCAAGTATGGATGCACATACTTTTAAAGGTCACACTGGGCATGTGTGAGGAGATAATTAAATTCCTCACCTGAGAGAGATGCAAGTCAGGAGAAAGCGCCAGAAACCAAAAAAGCCAGGTACTATGACAAACTTTCCCCTACTAAATATTCATTACCAACCCTCACGCCCAGTGCAGTTGTCCTTCTTTGGCAGCTGCCCACCCTCATGCCTTTCAGACATGGGGGATGTATTTCCTTCCTATTAGATATCTTTACTTTTCTGCTGGAGCTTTTTGAGCCATTCTTCCTCTGTCCACTCAGGCTGGCTCCTACCTCTCAGGAGTGTACTTTTACTTTTACTTAATAAACTACCTTTTCCTTACACTATTTGTGTGCTTTGTTCAATTCTTTGTCTGAAACACCAAGAACCTGGATGTCATCACAGAAGCCACCCCACAACATATATTGTGGTGAGCCAGCCAGGAGGGGGGGAAATGGACAGTCAAGGCCCTCATGAGCCCAGGGGGAAGAAACAGACTACTGAAGAAGACTAAGAAAATCCTCTATGCTCCTGTCCAGAGAAGTCATCATAACCACCAAGGAACCTCAGGGAGGCCCTCCTCTCACACCACGACAGTTATGGGAATGGAGAGGAGGAATATTACAAGTTATTTCACCACCCCTCTCTTGATATGCCAATTCGAGAACCACGTATTCTCATAAAAATGTCTAATAGTTCCCAGATGCCCAACCCTCCTTATGGGAAGAGATACACTGGCTTAGCTGAGGACCATCCTTTAAGTTTAGAACTCCAAGGATTAAAATCATTCAAGATTTTAATGGGGTAACAAGCCACATAAATAATACGGTTGAACCCCTCGCCTGGTGCTCTGGACAACCAGGAAGGGCTATACCAGCATCCCTTGTAAAAATACAACTTAAGGACCCCTCTAAATTCCCTCACTGCAAACAGTATCCTATAAGCCTAAAACATACAAAAGCACTGAATCTACTGTAAAGGAATTTTTAAAATGTGGGCTAGTCAGTCCCCCTTGCAGTATCCCTATACTGCCAGTACTTAAGCCAAATGAGGAATACAGAACTGTCCAAGACCTAAGGTATCCACCCCAAATGTGGCTAAGGACTGCTGGTTTTGTTTATCCTCATCCTCAGTGCAATACTAAGCTGTGCCTATTCCTATTCGGCTATGGGACACTAGTGCAATGACTTCTCATTCTAAATAAGAGAGGTCCACATTTCCAGTTAATAAATATGCAGGACTTGCAAGATTTTCAAAGAACTGAATGGGCTAAGAACACACTGGTAAAAAGGGGCAGTTAACCTTCTCAAATTCTTCCAATGGAACTTAGCAACTGAGAACTCACTGAGAACTCCAATTTAGAGACCCATAATCATGATTATTTTCTTAAAATTGCAGGTACCCATCTGTGTTAGAATTCATGATACAAACCCAAAATGATCACTATGTGCCTTAGACCAGTTTTTCTGTAATCATATTGCTTCACAAATCTGACAGCATTTGTCAGATACATGGGGAATCTGATTAAAAGTCCAAAACTGGTTCCTCTGGCTGTTGTCCCTCTTGGGACATTTGTTAATAATTCTCACCCTCCTTCTTGGGCCCTGTCTTTTAAATCTCCTAACCAAGTTTATCTATTCTTGCATGGAAGCTGTAAAATTGCAAATGACCACACCACACAGATATCAACTCCGTGGGATCTCCGTGCAAGTCATACAGCACCAATGACAGCCTTTGACAGCCCTTCCAAATAACACATGGGGTACTATCTCAATGACCTGCTCCTGGCCTTGCTCTCCCACCTAAGTCAGGTAGGGCGAGAGTTCCATGATCCCCAATCTGTTTGTCAATGGCCCTTTCCAGCATGAAGCAGTTACAGAAGTCAAATCATCTACCTTTAGCTCCCCAAAAAGATTTACGGGGTTCCTGCCTCTCAAGGGGAAAATGAGACAGAAGAAAGTTAGCAAATGGAAGTGGGTAAGGGGCTGGAACAGCTGCCCATGTGGCTAGACAGAAAAACCCAATCAAGACAATTTCCTGTCCAAGGTAATCAGCAGATTAGTCTAGCTGATTAAGCAACATTTGATACAGCCAGTGAAATAAATCAGTGGGTGCAGCCACATTTGAAATAGCCAATGAGAAATCAGTGGGCGCAGCCACATTTGATAGAACCAGTAAGATGAAAATGATTAGTGGGCCTAGCCAATGATGAACCCACATGACCTAGGTTAAAAATGATAAATCTGGCAAAATGCAACTGCCAGGGCCTTTTGTGCCACTCTTTGTCTGTCCACTCAAGTCCACCTACCTCTCAGGAGTGTATTTTTACTTAATAAACTAAATTTCCTTACCCCTCCCCCCCCAAAAAAAGAAAGAATAGAAAAAGGAAATGTTTACTTTTCTATTAAAATTTTTCTTTTCCTACTTTACCAGTGTTTGTGGCTTTTCATTCTGTGTCTCAGAGCAGGTCTCTAATCTTAGAGGTCTGGACCTAAACAATGGAGGATTTCACACAACACAGCTCAACTCTTCAAGCCTATAGCAGCACTCCATGCAGGCAACTCACTGCCCTCAAACTCCGTTGGGCAGCACTAACCTTGTCAACCCTAAGCTTGGCATTTCTCCTCAACATACAGCCAGTCTTTCTGCAGGCTGATCCTCTCCTCTCACACACAGTCAGCTTCTCAGAGACTGAATGAGCCTAAATGAAAACAAGTTCAAACAAAGCCCCTCTGACCCAGATAAAAAACCCTCACTTTAGTTTTTCATTGGCAACCCATTTTCCAGGACCCATTCCCTGCCTGATCTTCTTTCCCCCTCTTATCAAACTCTCTACTTCTGTCTCTGTGTCCACGTCTCTAATTCTTAGTGAGCATAAGACAAAGAATTAGGTTCACTGCTGTTCCTGCATTGGGTGTTGGGACCAAGCACCAACATCCTGCATTATTACTTGATGTACAGAAACTTACTATTTGATATTCACTCGCTGACAAACTACCCAAGTACTTTTTTTCTCCTATGCTTAAAAAAAATAGTCTGTGCAACTCTAAATTTTAAAAAGGGTTGTTGTTTTAACAGAAGAACACTGTATTTCAGTTTTATACCCCTGTGAGTTAAAAATATCAA